CAGAAAAATGAGTTTGTGGATTCAAGAGTTTCTCCTGGCTGCTTTGTGAGGCTGAGCCTCTTTTCCAAGAGCAGGATTCACTCTTCTGTTTGCACACAAAAAGATCTGAGAAATATTTCAATGCACTACAGTACCTTTGTCGCTGAGTGCCTTCAAGTCATTTCTGATTTGTGCCACAAAATTTCCTTGGCAAGACTTGTTCAGAGGGAGGTTACCTTTGCCACCCTCTGAGGCTGAGAAGGCGACTTGCCCAAGGTCACCCAATGAGTTTCCAAGGATGAGTAGAGATTTGAACTCTGCTCTACAGAGTCACAGTCCCATACTCAAACCACTATACCAGTGGTTCTCAACCTGTGGATCCCCATATGTTTTGGACTTCAAATCCCAGAAATCTTAACAACTGGTAAACTGGCTGGGATTTCTGAGAGTTGTAGGCCAAAACACTTGGGGACCCACAGGTTGAGAACCACTGCATGATACCATGCCAACTCTCACAGGATCTTACCATATTTGAATCCATTGTCTTATGATTTTAGTGGATAGTTGTCATTCTCACATTTTACAAGATTAGGCTCAGAATGCAGCCTCTGACTCCTAACAGAGCAAAAGTGGGGAATGTACAGAGACTCCCCCCCCCCCCCAAATTCCTAATTCAGTAGGCCTTCCAAGTATTTGCATTTCTCAGGTAGACGGTAGAGTCAGGAGGGTTTGCTCCCTCTAGCACTTCTATCCCACCCTAAGATAAAAACTTGCCCAAACATGCTGGAAGTTTAAAAAAATTCTAGCAAAAGGAAAAACACAACCAAGGCAGGGATGACGTGCTTGGACTAGTCAGGCCTCCAAGACAGATAGCGCCTCAACCCACTTTCCCACGCTGCTGGTGACACACCATCCCCTACAAGTGATTTAACCAGGAGGCCATAGGCATAACCACTGGAGGAGAGGAAATATCTTTGAAGAACACAGAAAAAACAAAGCAAGGGAAAGAAATCTAGCTGAATCCCATGACCATTATTATCTGGAACACGATGTCCCGTTCCGCAGTAATCCAACATACTCAACCCACAGCTTTCACTGAGGAGTCTTTCACTCAGCAATTCCCACCTGAAAACACACATGTGCCAAGACCCACCCCAAGACTGAAAAGCTGGCTGGAGGAGACTTTAGGAGAGAGCTGTTGTGGGTTACTCTGAAGCCTCCAATACATGCAGAGTGATTTTTTTTCTTTGTTGGAGATTTGTTCCCTGAGGGTCACGTTCTTCCAGAGGATGATCATGAAGAATGATTCCAACATCGCCAGGTACAAATCCTAGGAACTCTTTTGTTCCACTAATTAGATGCCACGATTATGTAAGCAGGACAAAAGCACACACAGCATACATTCCTAGCGGTCATTTGCTGATGCAAATTAGAATTACTGATAAGATGTCTTTGGAACAACAATGGATCCTAGAGGTCACATGCACACATCCCAAACACACACACACACACACAAAACTCGGAGGTTTTTTTAAAAACCCCAGAGACTTGCAGGTTTGACATCTATGGCTTCTTGCCAAAATTCTTCAGCAGACTGTTAAATGTGCTGCAGTCAATGAAACGTATTGGAGTCAATGAAACTAAACAACAGGATAATTAGTTAAATCCCCTTTTAGTTCATCAATAGTCCACATAGTAATAAAGTCAATTTAAGCGCATTGATAGCTAGTTTATACATAAAAGTGGAAATAAATGTAAGTTGTAATGATTTCAATATCACTGAAAGAAGAATTTTTAATTTCAGCTCAGTGTAACTCTTATATATATATACACACACACACACACACATACACACACACCTTTTAAAAAGGTGCTTCAAATACCTTTTCAAAAGTGTGTGCATAAAAGCACTTGGTCAACCTGAAATATGGCCCTGGGGCTTCATGGCTACCTTCACCAAAGAAGAATAACTAAAAACATTTTGTTTGATGGGACATTAAACATAAGAATAACAAACAGGACCATAGAATCAAGCAAGGGGCGAATCCTCTTAGCTTACATGCTCCATGGTTTCCATAATTTCATTAGTTATAGCAGCGATTCCCAACCTTTTTTTGACCAAGGACCCCTTTCACAAGGAACCACTCTCCAACATTAGTACCAAAAGGGTTACGAATCAGTTTTTGGTCAACTTTAGATTTGGTTTGGTTATTTGTGGTGCTGATTCAGAAAACTGCATTGGATAGACCACATCAGCTCTAGTTTCTGATTACAGAACATATGCCATCCAGTAGTCGCCATCTGCTCATCCACAGAAAACCATATTTAATCATCTAGAGCTGACGTAGTAATAGTAATCTTTTGTGGGTAGTCAGCCTCTTCTCTCCCGACATCCCCATTGCCTCGCCACTGTAAGGGAGTTTTGCAAGACCAGCCGCTCTCGTTGCTGAGTGTTCTCAAGGCAACGGTGTAATAATGTATTGTCGAAGGCTTTCATGGCTGGAATCACGGGGTTGTTGTAGGTTTTTTCGGGCTATATGGCCATGTTCTAGAGGCATTCTCTCCTGACATTTCGCCTGCATCTATGGCAAGCATCCTCAGAGGTAGTGAGGTCTGTTGCCATAGATGCAAGCAAAACGTCAGGAGAGAATGCCTCTAGAACATGGCCATATAGCCCGAAAAAACCTACAACAACCCGGTGTAGTAATGGTGAGACCACGGACCGTATTTTTATTCTTGTGGACCACTGGTGGTCCACGGACCACAGGTTGGGAACCATTGAGTTAGAGGCAACCATAGTCAAGAGAGATTAATATGCATTGTAACTTTGGACTGCAACAGTAAAACACATCCCAGTGTCATATTTTAGTCACATGTTCAAATAACTGCTTACTTGTCAACTGAACTTTTTTCAACTTCGGTTCAGACACCTTGGCACCAGGAGGACTTTGACCCAGAAGAGATTGTTAGTTTGCTTTAGATGGCCTCATGCTCTGCCATCTGACGGCCTCCACCCTGTAATCTTCCTCTGTTTTTTAAGGAAACATATCAGTCTAGATCTGTAACAAGGATGTGCCCAAACTCTGGAAGTGGCAAGACCCATTACTTATTCTTTCTTTTCTAGGGCTTCTGAGGAAGATCCAGCGGGAGTAATGAATTGTGCAACGCAAACCAATGACGCTGCATCGTTGCACAGTCAGGGCTCTCCCACACCCCGGAGCACCTCACTGACTAAACGTCCGAAGGAAAGCTGCAGCCACTGGCATTTAAGGCGGGCAGTGCCAGGCCACTTGTAGAACCACATCCTCCCAATCCAGCAGAGGAACACATTTTGCACGCAATGAGCAAAGAATACTCTCTGAAAGAAATTTCGTCCAGGGTTGCTTCTGGCAGAATAGTGGTGTTCCTCCCACTGACCAACATGGGGCAAACTCCACCAAATGCAGAGCCCCACCCTTAACCCTATCTCAAAATAGGCCTCTTGGATTCAACTCACACACAATATTCTCCACTCTGAAAGTAGGGTGCATGACACTAAATTCACATTAGAATGCTGCTTCTTTTATTTCCTATAGGCCTGTTTCGATAGACATGATTATGAGCTATTGTATTAACGGAGACCGAATACAGACTCCTTCCTATACAACTTCCTTAAAAAAGAAAGAGGTGAGACTCAGGGTGCATCTACACTGTATAATCAATGCAGCCCAACACCATTTTAACTGCAATGGCTCAATGCTATGGCATGGGATTATAGTTTTACAAGGTCTTTAGCCATCTTTGTCACAGTGCTAATGCCACAACAAACTACAAATCTCAGAATTCCATACTATTGAGCTACAGCAGTTAAAATGATGTTGAAGCTGCAATAATTTTACTGCATAGAGCTAGCCCAGGCATTGGCAAATTTCGGCCCTCCAGGTGTTTTAGACTTCAACTCCCACAATTCCTAACAGCCTACCGGCTGTTAGGAATTGTGGAAGTTGAAGTCCAAAACACCTGGAGGGCCGAAATTTGCCCATACCTGGTCTAGACACTGCTTAATGGAGCACTACATTTCAAAAAATTAAGAGAACTGACACTAACGACTTTGGCTTCACAAGTACGGTGAGGACAATATTCGTGGAATACAGCAGGAATACAGATGCTATTGGACTGCAACTCTCAAGTGTTCCTCAGAACTGACTATACTAGCTAAGACTATTGAAAGTTGCAATCTAATAATACTGAGAGAGCTAGCTGCCTGCTAGATTTTCACTCCTGCAACAGAGGCTTGCTTTTCTGCTTCTAGGTGGCACGTGTGTGCAATACAAATGAGGAGATAGCTGAGCAACATCTACCCTCCCCGCACCCTCTCCAAAAAAAAGAATAATCCCCTCCATGGAGGTTTTCCCAAATACATCTTAGAGCAACAAGGAAGCATTTCCACCAGCCCATCTATGTCACCGTTTCCTCTCCTGTTCTGAAAGTTTTCAACCCACTTAAGGAGATCCTAGGAGACACAGGGAATCAAAGGGAGAGGAAAAGAAAACACTGTGATATAGAAAACACTAATCACTTCTACCAGCAGGGATCCCTCTCCTGAATGAAGAAACTCCAAAAAATGAAGGAGTCTTTCCACTCACATGAAAGAACAATTGTCGACAGGCTGCCGATACAATAAAAGAAGAAAGCCTGAATCCTATAAAAACTAAGCCTAAGGGACTGTTAACCTTACTGGTAGACTGCAACTCTGATCATTCTTGGGGCAGTGCCCAGGCTGCTTTGGGTTGGTGTTAGCTGCAGTCCAAAAACATTTAGTCCTTAATCCCAACTAAAGGCAGTTCCCATATTACGAACAACATTGGTTCTGTAAGGTTGGTCTTCAGTTGAATTTGTACGTCAGTTGGAACAGGTACATTTTAAGTGATGTGAGATTAAGCATTTAAAAGCAATAGCACCACAAATCATTAAACATCATTAAACTGTAAATAAATATCCTTCCCTCCCTCTTTCTCTCCTTTCTTTCTCTCCTTCCTTCCTTCTCTACCTCTTCCCTTCCTTCCCCTCCCTTTATCTTTCTCTTTTTTCTTTCTCTCCTTTCTTCCTTTTCTACCTATTCTTGGACTGCAATTCCCAGCAGTCCTCCTTATCGATTGATTGATCTACCTACCTACCTACCTACCTACCTACCTACCTACCTACCTACCTATCTCTATGTAATCTATTTAACTTATCTATCTGGATAATTGCTGAGAATTCCAGTCCAGGAATAGGAAAATGTAAATATGAACTGTATTGTCATTTAGCTTTTTGATTTTTAAGTTCTTTCCGCTATTTGGGGATGAGGTATGAGTGTTGATCACTCACTGGTCTGTTAAGGGTGTAGTGTCCAAATTTTGTGTCAATTCGTCCAGTGGTTTTTCAGTTATGTTAATCCCACAAACTAACATTACATTTTTATTTATATAGATAGGGACAGAAAGTGAGGTGAATCTTCTCAACAGGGACACAGACTGCAAAACAAACAACACAGGGGTGTTTATACTTCCGTATACTATCCAAAACTTGTACATATACACATATATAATCAAAGCTTGTGTGTGTGTTTGTGTGTGTGTACACACACACATGCAAGCTTTGAATAGCATAGGGAAGCATTAACACCCCCGTGTTGTTTGTTTTGCAACCTGTGCCCATTCAGAAGATTCACCTCACTTTCTGACCCTATAATAATTGGATTTTGAAAAATTTGGCTTGTTGTGTAAACAAAGATTGGTGAGAAAGCTTCTGTGGAGACATCTTCTCCCCATGTTAATGCTTACAGGAGCGAATTTCCCTTCCTAGGGGTAGATTTCTCTCACTTCCTGTTGTCTCACTCCCATTCTTAACTAAGAGTTATTTGTAAGTCCGATGTTTGTAACTTGGAGACTTTCTATATTCTTTTTAAGTACCCTACATTACTACGATCTATGGATATTTCTTCCAAGTGTTCAGTACAAGCAATCTCTCCTTTTCCTAAGATTTCCTGACATTCCTTCCAGTAAATCAACATTTACAGGTATTTTTATTTTTTTGCAATACTCCCCAGATAGTATTGTTTCTTTACTGTTGAGGAAGGTAGCTGAGGAAGGTAGCTGAGAATTCATGTATTGTCGAAGGCTTTCATGGCTGGAATCCATGGGTTGTTGTAGGTTTTTCCGGGCTATATGGTCATGTTCTGGAGGCAAAAAATTGCCTCCAGAACATGACCATATAGCCCGGAAAAACCTACATCAACCCATGAGAATTCATTTTTGGCTAAAAGACAGGGCTCGTCAATGGCATTGCATATTCACAACACTTGTATAATATTTGAATTAGTAAAATCACTAAGTAGTGAGAGCAGGCAATGCAATGATCTGATACTGGACTACAACTCTGAAAACCAGAATTCAAAGCCCATTTGGGCAAGGAAACCCACTGGGTAGCCTTGTGCAAGACACACTCAGACTCAAAGGAAGGCAAAGGCAAAAAAAAAAAAAACCCTCTAAACCAATCTTGGCAAGAAAACTACATCATTATACATCATAAACGCCTTGAAGGCACACAGTATAGAAAGTCCCCTATGGTACAGGAAAGTGTCAAACTGCCTTTCTCCAATGCCACAAGCAGGTGCTATGTCCCTTAAAAGACCAGCCGCAGGTAATCTAAGAAAGTAGTGTCAAAATTATAATACAGAGCTGGACTGACCAAGATTGCATAATACGGTTTGGGCAACATGCAGCCTCTGGGACTGAACTGCCCCAGGCCATTCTCTCAATCTCTAGGGTCCCCTGAATCTGATTTAATGGGACTTTGTTTGTTGCAAAACTCTGTGGCCAATTGCAAAACTCCTCTGCAACTAATTTTTCCTGCTTGTGTGAAAAGTTTCTCTATTTTGCTACCAAACTTTGAGAGTGTGGCAACAGAGGGGGCAGCCCACAGCAAGCTGCATGAGTGGAAATTGCCATGGTTTCCAGCCACAAACTCAAATAGCTTTTTAAGCCTTTCAACTAGTCTATGTTTTTATACAACCACCCCTAGGAGAAGGCCATCATTACCGAATACAGGGCAGGAAGAAACAACCTTCCTTCTTTCTTGCCATTGCGTTTTTTAATGTCAGAAACCGGTCAAATCCAGTTTACACTTCAGAAAGGTAGCACAATCCTTAGATGAGAATGGTTCTGCTAGATCAGATAATGCCTACTATTCCACATTGTTAAGGAGTTGATTAAGGTAGTAAAGGTAAAGGTTTTCCCCTGACATTAAGTCCAGTCATATCCGACTCCGGGGGTGGTACTCATCTCCATTTCTAAGCCGAAGAGCCGGCGTTGTCTGCAGACACCTCCAAGCTCATGGGGCCGGCATAACTGCACAGAGCAGTATTATCTTCCTGCCGGAGCGATACCTATTAATCTACTCACATTTGAACATTTTTGAACTGCTAGGTTGGCAGAAGCTGGGACTAACAGTGGGAGCTCATGCCACTCTCCGGATTTGAACCTGCGACCTTTCAGTCAACAAGTTCAGCAGCTCAGCGGTTTAATCCACTGCACCACCAGGAGTTAACTATGTATGTCCAAACTAGGCTAAGGAAGATCTTGTTTATCCCTGGCATTTGAAACACACACAACCCTCTAATTGTTAACAGAGTAATGGCAATTATAGTCAGTCCTCCACATTCATGAAAGTGAAAAATCACAAATAAAAACACTGCTTTTTTAACTAGAGAAAAAACCTTTCTAGAAATATCTAGGTCTCTTAGCACAACTCTGTGGTCCACTTCCACTGAAAATGAAGCACAGAAACTCATTGGAGGACCTAGAAATTCCTAGAGAGATGTTCACTAGAGATCTTTAGGTCCTCCAGTATGACTGGCGGAAGTTGGCCACAGAGTTACAGAGATTTCTAGAGAGAACTTAATCAAATCTGTGGATAATCAAATTCCTAAGTCAAAACCACAAATGTGGAGGAATGGCTATAGTAACCAACACAGCTAGCCTCAGTAGAATATATTGCTAGTGGCCATCACAAATGAATGTGACGACAGCCATTTGTGCACATGCAAATCCCTATGCAAACTCCCTCGGATCTCTCTTCTATATTCTGGATCTCACATCGCCCAACCGAGAACTGCAGAATTTGTTTGCAAGGCTGTCATGTTCCAGCTGTAACACACCCGGACAAGTCATGTTCTAACCTGTGCCGAAGACGCCACACTGGACTCCCAGGATCAAAGGCAGAGAGCAAGCCCAGATCCCTCTTGGGTATCTTGAAATTATCTGAGTTGGGACTGGCTACAGAGATAAAAGGAGCAGCACCTTGAAGCCCACTCTGCCGTGTAAAAATGGAAAAACAAGCAGGCTTTCAACAGGCAGGCCTACTTACGCAACGCTCTGCCGCTTGTCATGAAGAATTTAAGCCAGCCGACTGGAGCTTTTATAATTGATGCCAAGAAAGGCACATGTGCCTTGCAATAGGTAATTTCAGATCAGCTGAATCATACATTAACAACAGATAGGCAGCCTGTTGCCCTCCAGGTATTTTGGACTACCAACTCCTACTGGTCACAATGGCTCGGCCTACAAGAGCTGTAGTCCAGAACCTCTGGAGGGCAATGGGCTACCTAACCTTGTATTAGGAAAAATGTGGGTTTGGGGGGAGTGATCTCTCTCTACAACTGGTAAGCTTACAAATTTGCTCCTGTAGCCTTATTTTAATGTTTCTGCAGAGACCCAGATTCCAAGGCCATGTTTTGCATTTCAATCGTGCAAGAATGGATAATGTGTGGCCCCCAAATACTTTTTCAGCTTTTCGGACCCTCACCCTCTGCTCCACTGTTCCCAAAATTGGCAGCTTAAAGTTTGTATGGGTAGACAAGGGGTGACTCATTGCGAGGCAATGTAGCCCACCCAATCCATAGAAGTTGCCCACCTCTATGCTGAGTGGAGACAGTTATGGATAAGAATGTTACTGGTTTTATTGTTGGATGTTTACTGTGATCTTATTTTACTGTTGTTTACAAATTATAATTGTTGGAATTTGTATGTTTTTATGTTTTAAGCTGCCTTGAGTCTGCAATGCAGAGAAAGGTGGGCTAAAAAGGTAAATGTTTTCCCTGACATTAAGTCTAGTCGTGTCTGACTCTGGGGGTTGGTGCTCATCTCCTTTTCTAAGCCAAAGAGTCGGCATTGGCCATAGATACCTCCAAGGTCATGTGGCCAGCATGACTGCCTGGAGTGCCGTTACCTTCCTGCATCTACTCACATTTACATGTTTTCGAACTGCTAGGTTGGCAGAAGCTGGGCCTAACATTAAGAGCTCACTTCACTCCACGAATTTGAACCACCAACTTTTCGGTTAGCAAGTTCAGCACCTCAGCGGTTTAATGCACTGCGCCATCAGGGAGTAGAAATACTCTAAATAAATGAATAAATAAATATTCAAAAATATGACCCTATCCCACCTAAAGAGCTTGAGGTACCTTCATGAATCAAAAACTGATAAGTCCTAAACTCTTTCTAATCTAAAGATTTGTTGAGTTTTTTTTTTCTTTTCAAGATGGGAAGGATCTTGAGGATGGCCTTCCAGGAACTGATGGGGCCAAGGGCAGAGGTGGAGCTAGATGTGATTCTTACCAACTTGGACATTTTCTAACCAAGCATATAAAGCACAGCTCAACTACACATGTTCAGTCAGGTACACTTCAGTGCAAAAGCTTTATGGACTATAAAGCAGGGAAAGGGCAGTATTTCACTGAATTTCTTCCCGAAAAGGGCATGTTTGTATTTTTCCAGCATGGGTCAATGCACAAATTAAAAAGCATTTCTATGGGTGAAGTTTCTAAGGAACAAGAGATGTCATCCAAAGAGCACTCCTGGCGTAACAGCTGGTGAACAGAGTACACACATGGCAAGACGAGGTCAGAACAATCTCAAAAGCCTTCTCTCTAAACTTTCTGGTTAAATGAGATTGAGTCTCAGTATAGATTGAGTAAGCTATCAGAGAGCCCACTCTCTTCCTCTGAGTTCCATGTCACTAAATATGACAAGTTCTTTTAAGTCTGAACTTCATTACTAGAGCTTACTTGTGAAAATCTGGCACGCTAACAAGTACAACCAGTAGTAGTTATTCTATGGCAATTTGAAGCAATTCAGAAATCTGCCAATCTAATGTTTTCCAGCAGTTCTATGGCATGTTATTTGCTTGTTGGAGAAATGCAGGAGTCATATTTTGCAGTTCTTGCATGTATTTAGGAACACAGTTTGTGTGTTAAACATGCACAGCAAGCAGGGCTGCGGAATCGAAGTCATAAGCAATTTTGGGTGAATCAGAACATGCTGAATCTACCTCTGACTTTAAAACAAAAATTTTAATATTAGAATTACAGAATCGTAGCATTTTAGGAATGAGCAGACTACACAAGTTCAACTTCTGCCATGGAGACCAGCTGTCAAAGTGATCTCAAGAGATAGTCATGCAACCTCTGGTTTAAAGACCCCCAAAGAAGGAGAAACCAGTTTATTCCACCGTGGAACCGCTCTTACCGAGAGGA